TAGTGGTTATCTATAACATCTGTTTTGGCTCTCAGGTAGCTGGATTAGGAAATATTTCTGCTTGAGACCCTGGAATGCTGCAGGACAGAACAATCACCAGACTGTAGGCACTGCATTTTAATCAACAACACTCTCAAAGGAATGAGTCAACATGAATGTGCTACTTTGAAAAGGGAACACATTAGCTTAACAACTGCTGTGGTTTGATCTCAGCATAAATCTTAGCTATGAACTGCTGCAAATTACAAAGTTAGTGTAGGCTTTTGCAACAGCAAATGCCTACACTAACTTTGTAATTTGCAGCAATTCGTTACCAAGATTTAAACCAATGGTGTTATGCCAGCAGGTATAACTAAGAGGATTTTGGCTAGTATTTTCTAAAAATAATGTTCAACACACTGTAATTCAGTATAAGGCACCTTCATATAGTCACAGTGAAGACCAGAATTTTACTCACTATTTTTAGCTTGGAAGCAAACTAAGAAGCAAATACAGATCTATGAGCTGCCATCCTCACTTATAAAGTGGAAGGATGCTTTCCCATAAAATATGCATGCAAGTGTTAACACACATAACTGTTGTACACTAACGCTTGCTTGATTTTTTAAAAAATCTTTCTTTCAGGTGATGTGAACTTAATCAGTATATGATAATGTTAAGTGAGATGTTTGACAACTTGTAAACAGTTATAGATGCCCTGATGATGAGTCTCAGAAATTAATTAGCACACAGAAAACTCCTTTGTTAAATCTAATTAACTGCCAAAATATTGATTCTTTTAACAAAGATATTATATAATGGAAAATTGTATTCTGTAATTAAAATATATGACCTCTCTGAAGAAAAAAGAAAGGACATAAAACATGTACTTCACAAGTTCCACATTAGTGTTTTTATTGCCTTCTTAAACTAATTTGTCACTTGGTAAAACAAGACTGCAAGCAGCCATAAGCATTGTGAGGGGAAGGCTCAGTTACTGTTTAGGGATATGAGGATAATTTGCTTGGGCATATTTTTCTTGTGGACTTCTCTTGGTCTGCAATTCCTGGACTGTCCAGATATAATTTGATGGTCTGGAATCTGCACATTGACAGATGGCCATGGCTATAGCCGCCAAACCCTGCACACACGAAAAGTGTGGATTTTAAATGTGTGCAAAACAGGGCTGCTGACTCTAAAGGAATAGATTTTGTTCTCTAACCACCACCCCATTAAAATCTTGAGCATAAGAGACAGAAAAAGGAGGGAACTCTGGAGAGGAAGACATCCATGGTTACTATTTCTATGTATCATACATCACTATAATCCTCCAAATTCATATCCACAGTTGTCCTATTAAAACCTCTTTTAACCAAAGGAACTGGCATCAGGGCTTAAGCAATCTCATGTCTTCGTCATCATCTATGATTTGACACAACTTGGAGATCTCAAGGAGAGAAGCTGGAACTATAGGCAGATCCTGACTAGGCCAAGAGGTGCTCCTACCCAACACCAAGTCAGGGATAAAGTACCTCCCTGTCTCAATCTATGTCCAGCATTTGCCTGGAACCTTCTGCATGTAAACAAATGCTCCACTACTGAGTTTTGGGCACTTTCTGCTTCACAATTCCTTGTGACAGAGTGAATGCAACAGCCAACTGGATCTCCCTGTTCATAGAATAGGCTACTAAACACCGATTACTGTATTTGATATTTAGTTTGTTTTGGAATTAAGGGATGTGGTGGTGCTGCGGGCTAAACTTCAGAAGCCTTTGTGTACTGCAGGGTCAGAAGACCAGCAGTCGTAAGATCGAATCCATGTGACGGAGTGAGCTCCCGTTGCTTTGTCCCAGCTCCTTGCCAACCTAGCAGTTTGAAAGCATGTAAAAATGCAAATAGATAAATAGGTACCACCTCAGTGGGAAGGTAAACAACGTTGTGTGTGTAGCTGCGCTGGCCACATGACAACGGAAACTGTCTTCGACAAGCGCTGGCTCTACGGCTTGGAAACAGGGATGATCACCGCCCCCTAGAGTCGAACATGACTGACTAAAATGTTAAGGGGAACCTTTACCTTACCTTGTTTTGGAATGACAAGTTATTTTATTGTACTCCACTAATATTACTCTTAGCTGATCTATTATTTGCACACTACTGTAGTTTTTAATAGTGGGAAGGCTCTTGTAATAAACTACAATTCATCTCTGAATGACAATTAAAATATACTGTATTTATCTGGCCCTTTCCATTTTATTGTACTCCACTAATATTACTCTTAGCTGATCTATTATTTGCACACTACTGTAGTTTTTAATACTGGGAAGGCTCTTGTAATAAGCTACAATTCATCTCTGAATGACAATTAACATATACTGTATTTATCTGGCCCTTTTCAAGTGTACATCTTCTCAGCAATCCTGAGAGCAATCTTATGTTACAGATGGGAATCTGAGACTGAGAATAACACGTGTCTTTCTCCCCTAAAGCCACACTTGCAAGTTTACAGATAATGTCAGATTTGTTTTGTGGACTTCCCAATTCACATTCTTTCCCATTGCAAGAAGCTCTCTTTCTCTCTCTTTTTTATTACATTGAATTATAACAGCCTTTCTCCCTTCCAGTCAGTATGATTGATAGCAGTTCTGTTAACACATTTCCATTAATCGTTACCCAAGAGCTACATAAATAAAACATTTCCCCCCCACCTCCTGTTTTAAATTAAGTAAAGTAGCCATTTGGAAAAGTCTATATTGGATAATGGTTTTAGATTAACCATACTGACACACAGTACTATTTACTTCTGTTAACTGGAATACTAATCAATAAGGGTGTCATTAGAGCATGAAGAGGTCATGCTGGAAAAAAAAAAGCTGGAAGATCAGGGCTGTTTCCACAGTGAATATGTCAAGATAAACAGAAGATCTGGGACACAATTAAAGGGTTCAGCAAAGCTATTTTCCCTTCACCCTACAATCTGGCTAAAGAAAGGGGTAAAGGGATTAATGTATTTTTGGCATATAATCCCAAAGCCCTGTTGCCATGACATGTTCACCTCAGATGGCAGATACTGGGGTAGCAAGGCGGGCGAGTGTCAGAGAAGGAGGAACAAGGTGTTGGAAGACAGAACTGCAGGGCAGGCTTGTTCTGTGCACTCAGGGGGGTAGGTTCCTGCCCTGTGGCATAGTGGAGGAGTCTGTGATGGGTCTGGGCAGTGATCCATCCTAAAGGAGAGTCAAACACCAATCTTGCACGTGGAATGAGGCCAAGCAGGGAGCATCTTATATTGCTTTGCATTAGACAGCAAATGATTCTAGCCTCTTCTCATTTCTAGCTGGATACACATATGCTGTTGCATGAAAGAGCCAGAAAGAAATAATGGGCATGTGCTCCATGGGAAGAATATTTTTGCACGTGCAGGAGACAGAGACTTAAATTTCTGGAAATGCATGAGCCACAGTTTTCCTCTGTGGATCCTGGAAGACAGTCCAGGGCTTGGAATTAATTGCTTTTTCTGAAGGTCTACTTATATGCTGCCATGATTGTTACTGAGCGCAATGACAAATAAATTTCTTATGTCTTATGTCTTATGTCTTATGTCTTATATGCTGCCATGATTGTTATTTAATATATGAAATCCAGTACGAAATCACAGCTAGAGTAGGTGCACTGAATAAGTCAAGGTTTGGTGAATCAGCACCTCTATAAGTTCCACTGCTTCAATAGACCTACTCTAATTGTGACTTACTACTGGACTTTAGCCACTGATGTATAACTGTACCCTTTTTGCAGAGTAACTAAAATGCTTAAAGTTACTTTTATGGTGAACAGAGCTGTGGGCTCACTAAATGATGGAGGAGGAATGTCACATGGTTCAAGTGATGATTCATTCTGTACTTTGTGATTTTGCCTTGTGGTCTCTATGGGTGTTAACTCAACTGTTAGATGAATAGGATAAGACACAGATGCACAGTCTGTAAAGTCTGAATTGTAAGTAACTAAAAATAACCATTCTACTGAGTTACACAAAACTAGAAAGTAACAAATTGTCTTGGAAAATATAGCTACCTTTGAAAACCTGTAACTATAACACCAAGGAAAGCTCATAACTGGGGTATCTCCCCCAACAGTTTTGGATGAGCCTCTCCCTGTCCCACTCTACAAACTGTCCCTATACTAATTAACTAATTTTGAGTTTGGGAAGTATACTGTAATTGGTTTTGTAGCAATAATTGTCATCCTGAACAGCTTGGTTCACAGAGCTCTGCCTCTGAAATGTAGGAGAGGCCCCACTGATTAGTCTAGAGACAATATTGGGCTAGATAAGTCTTCTCTTGGTATCTTGTCTGCTGGTGGGTAATTCCTGAAGTTGTACCTTGACATCCTTCATACTTACGGCTGCACTCTAGCCCTGCGTATGTATGGTCAGAAATTAAATCCCTATTTTCTCAATTAAATTAATGGGTGTCCGTGTTCTTAAAATTACACCCTAAAAAGAATAACATTATTTGCCTACAAGCCTTTTCGGTGGCTAACAAAAACTCATTTTTCTGCATTACTGGAAGGACTGCCTTTTTCTTCCTCTTTCTCTTTCACATTTAGTGTCAGGATATTGAGATGATTTTCCAAGGCCCTTCTTAATTTCCTTGGTGATAAAATGTGGTAGAATTCCAGTTGTGGAAAACCCTTCCAAGAGAAGCTCTTTTAGGTTGTACTTTTTATTCTCCCAAGGTTCTTAGACACTTAGTCTTCAGAAACAATTTTTAGAACACTATATGGCTCCTTTTACATAGTTGTATTCTGTAGCTGCGTTAATTTTTAAAATAGTTTTTAAATGCTGTGTTTTTATTATGTGTTCACATGTTGTGGCTTTAATGTTTATTTTTTAGACTTCTGACAGAGCCTCTATTATCGGATGGTACCGAAACGTACATAACCGAATGAATATATACATAAATAAAATATTTCTTCTCACATAAGCTTTCCTCAGCAGAATCATGGAGTTCCTGCTCATGTTTTCTTACCTCGTAATAACTTTGGACTGCATTCATGAAAGCTTCATCTGCTACAATTTGAGTCTCTCCATTCAGAAATGCTTGGAAACGATCCTTGACAGTTTGGAGTTGTTGTTTGCTTATCTGTGAGGAAAAACAGGGGGATAATGTAAAAGGTTAGTATAATCATATCATTAAGACTGCCAGCAGGTTATACAGTCTCAGGCACATGGTCAAGCAAATATTCAAATTTTGCTAATTTGAAAAGTTATGCAAACTAACCATACTTATGTATATTTTATAACATTGCACAGTTTAAATTGCCTCTCTGTTAGTCATTCTTCTTCTTCTCATTCCTTTCATACTAGCAGATGGACATTATCATGGCTCTAAACAATGATGCTGTATTGTATCCAACTACGTCTTCAAGATTTTTCTAGCCAACAAGATTGCTTCTTCTTTTTCCATTTATTTTAATTTATTTTGGTTCCTATCATTATAAATCTCTCTCTCTCTCTCTCTCTCTCACACACACACACACACACACACACACACATCCTCCTCCTCCTCCTCCTCATCATCACTCTTCAGTGCAGCCCAACCTAAACATAGTATACACAGTCCAAATATCATAGACCTTAGACCAGGCTTGTCCAACCCACGGCCTGAGGGCCGCATGCGGCCCAGGTCAGCTCGTAATGCGGCCCAGTGCAATTTTTTATTTTTAAAGAAATTCCAAAGTTTCAAGTTACACTGCCAGTGCTTGCGGCCGGAATGTGGCCGGGGCATGTCACAATAGTAGAGGGGGAGAGAGGGAAGGAAGGAAAGAGTGGGAGGGGAGGGGACAGGGGGCTGCATGACTGCATTGTGCGATCCCCATCAATAGGTGGACCCCCTCCCAGCCCCATAAAGCCGCCGGAGTCGAAGCTGGCAGCCTCTGCTGTCTGATATCGCAGCTGCTGGTAAGCATGCTTGGAGCGGGGCTGCGGAGGACGGCTAGGGCTGCCCCCCCCATGCGGCCCAAACCAAATGTATGTGCAGCCCAAACCAAATGTTCATCTTCTAATGTGGCCCAGGGAAGGTGAAACGTTGGACATCCCTGCCTTAGACCATCAGAAGAAACATCTGTTGGGGGCCTGGACTTGTCCATTTAACATACAACTAACATCTCTGAAGGGATTATATCTACTGCCGTCCTTTCTGTTCATTGGAAATTCTTGAATGGTTGTTCATTATATTATGATTTTCCTCTATTGCACGGGACCATCATTCCCATGATGAGTGTCATCCTGTGCAAAAAAAGTGAACTAGAGATCAAATCCATTGACTGACAGAGTCATGCTTGTGGTTACCCATGGGTAAGATCAAAAATTGTTCTGCAGTGTCTCGAAAGGAAGATCATTTTGTTGGACTATTCATTTGATTGTCTTGGCAATGAGGGTTTTTTTTCCTTTATGATTTAGGGGAAAATTTGTGGTCATGTCTTAGATGCTGTGTAATGATTCTCTGGACTGAATGACAGCATGTTAATTTACTCAAAACAAACAACATGGTAGAATTTTGAAATACACATAACTGCAAAAATTTAGATATTTAGACTATCAGCAATCCTTGACTCTTTTGTTCCAGTTAACTCCTGCCAGAATAAGGAGCCACTAAATAGAGAAGAATTGTGTGTTTCATCAGAAGACAGTGTTTAGTTTGTTCCTAACACTACAAGCCAAGAATAATGGGACCTACAGGAAAAAAACAGCTGTAGCTTAGGAAACTCTAGGTAATTAAATCAATACTGTAATTCCCATCACTACAAGACAGATGCTAATGATTTGAATGGGTTTTTCATGGAACAAAATCTGATTTCATTAGTTGACAGAGAGTTTATTAGATACTTGTAGCAACAAGAAATGCCATTCCATTTCTCTCCCAGCTGCCACCGTTAGTAAAAAGATGCAGGGACTCCTCATGCCATGTTAGGGAAGCAACCGCGCTTCAGGTCCCAGTGCAGAAAAGTCTTGAGTGGCTGTATTATCCTCTCAGATTCTGGAAAGTTGCTTTCTGGATTGCAGCTCCCAGAACTCATTGACCACGTCTGTTAAGGATCCTGGGAGTTCCAGACCAGAAAAGTAACCTTTTTATGCCCAAGTCTGACTATTTTATACAAAACAGTCTTCTATTTGAAGGTCCATCCAGCTGAATATTTGAAAAGCTGCTGAGGACAAGAACCTCGCCTCTGGAACAATCTCCCTCCTGAGATTCGCGCAGCCCCCACTCTGGGCACTTTTAAAAGTCAATTAAAAACATGGCTGTATATTCAGGACTTCCCTCCAGCTAATATCTGATTTTTCTTTTTATTCTTCTTTTACATATATTCTATTCTATCTTTGTGTTGTATTTGTTATAGCATGCTTTATGTAATATTCTGTATTATTTTATTGTTTTATTATATTGGAAGCCGCCTAGAATGGTCTTATAGGTCAGATGGGTGGGGTATAAATAAATAGATAGATAGATAGACAGACAGACAGACAGACAGACAGACAGACAGACAGACAGACAGACAGATAGATAGATAGATAGATAGATAGATAGATAGATAGATAGATAGATAGATAGATAGATAGATAGATAGATAGATAGATAGATAGATAGATAGATAGATAGATAGATAGATAGATAAACCAGAACCAGCAAAACTGCTCATCAGCAGTTGGCATGTTAACAGCAGACTTAAGCTTTCTTGTTATACAGTACTTACTCTAAATATGCAGATATATACTCCATTTCTTGTTAACTTGTTATTACCATGCTTGGATGTAGTCATCTAAGCATATGCATATTTCTTTATGTTATTACCATGCTTGGATGTAGTCATCTAGCCATATGCATATTTCTTTTCTTTACTGAACAATGGAATGTGTAAATGGCTTTTCCTTTCTTCTCTTAATGTATCCAGCAAAGAAGAGTCCCGTTCATTCATTCATTCATTCATTCATTCATTCATTCATTCATTCATTCATTCATTCATTCATTCATTCATTCATTCATTCATTCATTCACTTTCTCTCAAGGACTCAAGGTGGCTTACAACATTGAAAGACAATATTTTAAGTTTAAAATAATAAGTAGACAGTGATGATTAACATCATTAAAACCCAATATGGTTCCCAGGCCTGCAGAGGGGTTCACATGTGACTAGGGGTTTAGTCACTTGATGCTCAGTGGTCTTCTCTTCAAGAGGAAAAAGCAGGGTGTGGATGGGAGGTTGCCGAAATAGCCTCTCTCCCAGCTTCTTCAGCAGAGTTCACTCCCCTCGCCCCATCGAATGGCAGGCAAAAGGAGAGTGAAGGAGGAGAAAGACAGGCTAGTTCAAGTAAGCCAGGGGTGGGCAATTCATTTCTATAGAGGGGCCACATGAAAAATCTGAACTCTGATTGGGGGCCAAAATAACTTTACTTAAAAATAAAATGAAACAGTGATGTTTGTTTTTATTTTAACCTTGTTAATCTTCACAAATACTAAAGAGGTTTTTTGTGGTATGTTAACGATAAGCAACTGATCAACTTTAGACAAAAAGCTATAAATGGTTTTGATGTTCAAAACTGTCCGCGGGCCGGACAGGAGCGGCTCGTGGGCCATATGTGGCCCTCGGGCCACACTTTGCCCAGGTCTGAAGTAAGCGGTCTCTCTTTCTTCCCCACAATTTATTCCTCACTTCTTTTCTTTTCCCAAATTTTAGAGACAGAATAGTCAAACCTAATATGTTTGGTTATCTTTCAGCTTAGTGAAATAGCTTTTAAATGCCAAGCTTTCTATTTCATGTACTCCTTGCTATTTCATGTACTCTCTCTCTCTCTCTCTCTCTAGCTATATGACAAAAATTGAACCTCTTTGACCTATATATAAGTGGTACTTATTTCTGAACTGGAGATTATTAAATGTTGAAACTTGTGTTGTGGAAAAGAGACTCCAGTGACCCACAGAAGTAGCCACCATCAAAGCAAATAAGGGTATAAAAATGCGCGCGCACACACACACACACACACACACCCCAAAGGTGGTGGAAAGATAGTGGCAGTTAAATAGTTGTAGCTAACACGTTTAAAACTAATGAGACAAACACAATACAGTACTTTGCATGCTATTACTTCTGCACATCTCTACGGAAGCTCTGCACTTTGTACTGTTTTGTGTGTGAAGAATTTCATTTTTATAATTTTATTAATGTGTCATTACATATTTCATGTCACAGAACCACAATTTTTAAAAGATGTCACCACCTTTCTTTTTCATTTCAGTGCAGAAGATTCCCTCCACCCTTTCGAATGTAGCCATCTTTCAGTCTCGAGAGACTATGGTAACATGCTCTGAACATAGGAGTTGGAACAGCGTCTAGAGTGGCTGAGGAGGCCAATTCGAGAGTGACAATCCCTTCCACACTAAAGACAAATCCAATCTGTCCCCTGTCCAGCTCTCTGATTTGGCTGGTTTAGGGACTGCCTCTTTGCCTCAGTCTGATGGACAAGTGTCTCTTCAAATTGGGAGAGGCCATGCTTCACCACCTGCCTCCACCTCTGAACGCTCAAGGTTTCCCACCTGCTGAGGGCCATTCCAAAGGCCTTCAGATCCCGCTTGCAGATATCCTTGTATCGCAGCTGTGGTCTCCCTCTGGGGCGTTTTCCCTGCACTAATTCTCCATACAGGAGATCCTTTGGAATCTGATTGTCAGGCATTCTCACTACACCCTTTATCGATTCATTTATAAGGGATGGATTGAGCTGCTCTGAAAATGAATAGTGTTGGTTGACATTCCTGGAACCTGTGGCTCATGCACTGAAGTGCACTGTGAAAAGAATAAGCCCCCCCAATTTTCCTTTTCACAGGATTGTTTTCCTAAAATGACATGCTTGTTTAGTGGTGTGGGGGTTAAAAAACAACAAACTTTTCATTCAGTATACAATACCATCAGAAAAATGTTCCTCTATTACTTTTAATGTAATTATTTTGCAGACTGTGGTACAGCAGGAGCTTATTGATTCATCCCGCACCTTGTTTCAACAGCTACCAATGTAATTAAGAGAGGAAGTCAATTCCTAAGAGGAAATTTAATTGTTTTCATATTCTCTTTAGCATTTGCAGTGCTAAAT